ATCTTGTACAATTCTTCGTACAACAGTTTCGTTTTAAAATAATTTCAATGTCAGATATTTTATCGATTTGCTTTACGCTACTTGGTCTTGTTAAAATTTCCCTTATTTGAAATTTCCTCTTTGATTTGTATCGTTGGCGAGTGGAAAATCGGAAAAGACGCATTCCATCTTCGTTCTATCCTTGGAAATATCCCGCCTTGTTCCTCTCGAACGATGAAGGAAGAAGAATGCATTCTCAACGTGTCTCTCCGATCATCAATACCAAACTTTAGATCATATTTTTCGAGGGGGAAAAAGTTTTTTCGATTCAATCTGGGAGAATATAATATTCAGCGAGCGAACGATTAAGCGCGAAGAATGAATCGTAGAATATGTAGTGAATATATTTGAATCTTGAAAAAGAAACGGGGAAGAGAAGAGTTGGAAGGGATTTTCGTACTTTTTCATGCTTTTTCCGAATCTGGCGATTAAATATTGATTTTTCCTTATTGTTCAAAATCCTTTCGTGTCCTCTTCGATACAAGAAGGGGAGATCTTTTACAGATGAATAAAATTTTTACATTCTTCGTTAACTAGTGAAACGATGAAACAAAACTTGCAAAAACCCGACGATCCAGTGTTATTCTCTTCGTAGTCGTCCAACTTTCTTTGGCCTTTGTCTCTACCGCCAATTATCGCAAAATTAAGCAAAGTGAACTTCGCTTTGTTTCACCCCTCCCCAAAGTATTTCAACCGATGTTCAACACCACGTTGAAATACACGCGTTAGAGACGAGTCTGGTAATTTCAACGAAGATCTCTACTCCCCTGCTCGCAGACGAATTTCATCCGTTCGATTCAATCCATATTTAATAACGACAACGTACCTCTTTGGTCAACATCCTTTCCATATCCGTTGGTGGAAGAATATTCGGAAGAGGAATTGATTGACGTTATCGTTGCAATAATAGCTCGACGAATTTGAATAATGCATGCACAATGGTCGTGCGTTGACGACGAAAAAAAGTTCATCTACTCTTTATCCTACCGGTTGCGATCTCGGTTCGAGAAGAAGAAAAGTCTCGAGGAAGCCAATTCCCTCTTTGCCGTCGTCAGCGACGGAGAAGATCGGAGAATTCTATTTCGATGTTGGAATATTGGATCTTGGTCGATCGTGTCGAAAGGACAACCGACTATTCCCAACAACTATTCCCATTTGTTCATCTAATTCAGACCAAGGAAGAACGAAGTATGCTATTTACTCGCGGACAAAGACGAACTCGTTGTAATGATTCCAACGATTCTCCTCAAAATCCACTCCAGGCTTGAGTTGTTCCGAATTGCCGCCAGCTGTACCGGAACCACAGCTACCGGCCAACTTAAAACCTTGCTCTTGAAGCATGTCGAAAGCTTGCTCGATGGAACTGTGCTTCAGGAAGAATCTCGAGGTGTAACGATCCGTAGTGCCGTGGTCCGGATCACGGCTTTCGTTCAGAGTTTCCCCAAACACGTCCCTACAAAGGGTGACACGACCGCATACGAGGATCCTCGACAGCTTCCGAAACTTTACATCCGCCAGACCCTCGCGACCGAATGCAAAGCTTCCGCGATAACCGACAGTTATGTGTCCGGATGCTCTCTTCCCGGAAGAGGTCAGGGAACCGGAAGACTTGCCGTTCTCCAGAATGGCACGTTCCAATCCAGGCAGACCGTAAAAATTTGCTTCCTGCCTCAATCTCTCCTTCTCTCGAAACCCCTCCGGCAGAACCAATGCTTGATTGCGCAGAAAATCAAGCACGTAACGGAACAGTACCCCGTCTCGATCCAGAAAATATTTTCCCTTCGCATCTTTCTCTACCGGCGTTTTCCCCGAAAACAATGCGGCCAGATGAGAATCGCTTTCCCGGGTAAGGGTGGTCAGAGCGGTGGTATAAAACACACCGCCCACGTTCAACTCCACCACGCTTGGCACGGCTTCCTGTTGCTGGTCCGGCTGCTGTTGATCCACCATGCTTCCCGACGCTTCTCTCGATAGACTCGTCTCGCGTACAGTCGCGCGTTGCGACTCGAGCCAGCGATAATCGTGCGGGTGAGAACGATAAAGTTCAGAGAGGGGTGGTATGTACGAACGGAATGACAATGACCAGTGGAAAAAAGGGGAAACAACGGTATATTCGCACCGAAATATTTTCTATTTATTCTTGCCTGCGATACCGAAAATGCAGCACCTCGCAAACAACACTTCTCGCGACCACACCGCACACAGCACAACTGTGAGAGATCGCGTGAATTGCGAGAACGGGCCGATATGTATCGGGTCAGTGACCGAGGACAGCTAAGGGTTGAGACGAGGTGGACACACTCCAAGATAGATCTGACTCCGGAAGCGTGCTCCCTCGAAGCTGGGGGCGAGAAAGACTGACGATGAGAGACTGCGCCTACGCTCGGTCGAGGAAAGCCGAGTTTAGCTCGGCTCCGTCGCTGCGTTTCCTCTCCTAGACACTTGGCGCGCGCGGCAGGACACGCTACTCGTGTGTGTTGCGAAGTCTGATACGCTGGCGCAGAAGGGTGCAACGCGCACCGATTCTCGAACGGAGGAACGCGCGCACCATCCCCCTGTCGTCATTCGATCATTGCACGCGGGCTATCCGCGTGTTACGATACCAACGTAAAAATTTCTCTTTTCCGCTCGTGTTTCGATTCAATCTCATCGAAGGATCATACTTCGTATAGCTATTTCGATCGTTTCGAATTTTCGCCAATCATGTGTCGCGATTTGTTTCGCTCACGAACGAGTGACGCGATGATACGAGAAATAAGAAACAATATCGTTGTCGACTTACCTTTGAACGTCGAATCCATTTTCTTTCTTCGTATGATTACGAGTTTTCTTTCCTCGGCCTTTGATAATTGATTATCGTTTCTTCTTTCTTCCTCTTCTTTCTCTTCGTGTTTCGAAGTTCCGCCATTTTGTTATAAACTGACCGGATAAATGCGCGGGAAAATGCTTGTTCACTGTCCCATTCTTGTAAGCCTAAATTCCATATAGATACTAATTATACATTTTCTATACGAATGTTTGCTATGTTATTTGATTAGTGATAAAATTTTGTACATTGTACATAGATATTTAAAGTAAATTTATACTTTATTGTTTAGATAGATTGATATCGTACGTTGACTATGCGGTAATTATTGGTAGATAAGAATTATCGATAAATATTTACCAACCTTGTAAGTTTATTCAAATATTTTCTATTGCTCCCATATATTTTCACTTTTTCACATAATAAAAGCTATTCACTCTTGTAAATACGTTAAAAATGTGACGTTGAATATTTGCAATGAACACTCACTTTACCACTGAACGATTAGCGCCCTCTCTACCACATATCCCCACTACTTGATCAGCTGGTTTCACAAATGGCCGAAATAGCGCGCTGATCAGTCAAATTGAGTGCGTATATTGGATGGCCTGCGATGGCCACTGTTAACGACATCGGATTATTACAATTGTCTTTCATTGTGTGTAACAAATCAGTACGTACACTGTTTTTCCTCTATTCATAGTTCTACGAAAAAAATTGATGTCATATAATAATCTTATTCGTATTGCTATATAGATCAACGTATGTGAACAATTCTCTCTTTCATTATTTCTCGGAAACTGGGACGATAATCCCGCGGGATAAATTACTTTTAATCGACAATTTAAATCGAACTGTCGAAACAAGAAACGATCGAAATGTCGGAGCCACGAAAAAGGATTGTAAAAGATGAATCCAGAGGAAATATTCTTAGAAATCATTCCTGGAGTAATGGACCCGACAGTGAAGACGAACAAGCTGGTGAAAATGAATTACTTAACGAATGTACGGTCAGTTCAAGGTTCGTAACTTTATCGCACTATTCGTAGATACATTCTTTATAGTAATTATTTTTTTAATTTCGTTCATTACTTTTTAGCGATTTATTTTATTTTTGTTTGTTTTTCTTATGTTTTTTTATTGTTCTTTCTTTGTTATCTGTTGTACAAATCATGAGACATTCTGTATCATATCTTCTAGATACAATATTGCACGATATATCATACTGATATTTTTTGAAAAGTTATTTTTAATTCAGTAAATTTGTAGTAATAAAATCTATATTTTCTTCTAATTATGTTCACTATAAAGAGTATTTTTTAAAAGAATTTTACTTTTAAATAAAATATTATGAAATAAATTAGTTACTAAATAATTATAGTTTTAATATTATAAACTAATATATAAAAGTTTTTATATTTTTTATACAATTATCGTTAATGTAAAAGTTAATTTAAAGAATTTTATTGTACTAAAATTATTATATAAAACTAAATATTATTTTTATATATTAAAATATTAAAATTATATTAAAATTATAAAGATCATGATATTTATTAAAATCTTTTTTATTTACAGTCATCAATCAAGTATAACAGATCAGCCTATCTGTAATATGTCCCTATTTACCGAAGAAAAAATGCGTAGAAAATTAAAATTTTTCTTTATGAACCCTATTGAAAAGTGGCAAGCAAAGCGTCGTTTTCCATATAAATTTATCGTACAAGTTATTAAAATTTTGTTAGTCACGATACAACTGTGTTTGTTTGCACATAACAATTACATTCATGTAAATTATACTTGGGATAATCGAATAGCTTTCTCACATCTATTTCTCAGAGGATGGGATAGTTCTTTAGAGGTAAGATATTATTCCATCTATTTATTTTTAAATATTGCAAAAATTAATATTAAAATATATTAATAAATCTATATAAAAATAAATAAATATAAATAAAAATTATATATTTGATTTTCAGGTACCTGTTTATCCACCAGTAACAGGTCCTTTGGCAATTTATAAACGAGATGATTTCTATAATACAATTGATTATGCTTTAGATGGTTATTATAATATTAGTAATGCAGTTGGATCTTATTCATACATTGCAGAAGACAATTCAGTTGGCCCAGTTATTCTATGTTTATATCAATATAAAGAAGGTATTATATTCGGTTTTAATGAAAGTTATGTTTTTGATAAAGAAATCATTGAAACTTGCATAAATATAACTGATAAGACTTATAATGAATCTAGTAAATCAAAATTATTATTATTTAAGCAAAATATTAAAGTGAATTTTTCAGCACTTGTTAAAGCTCATTTAATGTTTGCTTTGAAAACAGTTAATTTAAAAGCTGCAGGACCTATGACACCTCCTGATTGTTATCAGTTTAATATTAAAATTAATTTTGATAATCGTGACTTTGATGGACAAATGTTACTTTCATTAGATGCTGAACCAAAAAGATTACAATGTAAAGGTGATACACGTTATGTAACAGATAATCGTATTGAATCAGCTTTAAGGACATTATTAAATTTATTTGTAATTTTAATTTGTACTGTATCTCTTATATTATGTTCAAGAGCTATATATAGAGCACAGTTATTAAAATTTGAGACTATGAATTTCTTCAAAAAGGCATATGGTAAAATATTAAGTTTTGAAGGAAGATTAGAATTTTTAAATCTCTGGTATGTTATGATCATTGTGAATGATCTTTTAATTATTATGGGCTCAGCTATAAAAGAACAAATTGAACGAAAACAATTTGGTAGTGATCATTGGAATATATGCAGCATATTTCTTGGTACAGGAAATTTACTCGTTTGGTTCGGCGTATTAAGATATCTTGGTTTCTTTAAAACATATAACGTTGTTATTCTAACATTGAAAAAAGCAGCCCCTAAAGTAGCACGATTTTTAATATGCGCAATTCTTATTTATGCTGGTTTCACATTCTGTGGTTGGTTAATTTTAGGGCCATATCATATGAAATTTAGATCACTTGCTACAACTTCCGAATGTCTTTTCGCACTTATTAATGGTGATGACATGTTTGCTACATTTTCGGCAACATCATTTAGTAAATCACCGATGTTATGGTGGTATTCTAGAATGTATTTATATACATTTATTTCATTATATATATACGTGGTTTTAAGTTTATTTATTTCTGTGATAATGGATGCTTACGATACGATCAAAATTTATTATCGCGATGGTTTTCCAAAAAATGATTTGCAAACTTTTATTGCGGCATGTACTGACGAAGCATCTAGTGGTCTTTATAAAGATGATTCTGAAGATAGTGATTTATCAGAATTTATAGATCGTTTTTGTTGTTGTCGGAAAAGACCCTTTTATGGGTCATTCTCAGAATCAAGTACAAAATTCTCGACAAAATCGGAACAAACGTGTGGAGGAGCAATCTGTATATAGTGCATTAAAGGACAATAATATTTTGAATAAAGATTATGGTTCCATGGCAGATAGACGGTATTATTATAATGATAATTTTATCATGTAAAGTATTGTTTGTACAAATGCAACATTGCATTTTTTTCTTTAAATGTTACAATTAAATGCTGCCATTTTTATGTATCATGTAAATACTAACAAAATGAATGATTCATTTTACCTCTTTATATATATATATATGTATATATATATGGAATATTTTATTAAAAAATTCAATATTTAGGAATTAGACATATAATAATAGCAATGATGTTATTATTGTTTATGTATATAAAGTATTAATGTATTAAAAATAATTAAAGTGTTTTTTCTGTCAGTAACTTTTTGTAATATAAAGTATATATATATATAAAAATTTAACATGTATTTCTTATTAAACATCATTTACATATATAAACAAAACTATAGCATGCCAAAGTCAATAATGCACAGTTTCATATGTATATGTAAGAATTTATAATTATTATTTTTTGAAAAGATTAGACAAAATTAATTTTAAACTTATATAATTATAAATATGAAAAAACTTCCTTGTTAATAATCTAATAGAATAAAATATAGGGTTGTGAAAAAAAAAGGAAATATAATAACTAACATGTCATAAAATTTTTAATGTACATGTTTCCAATATTGTATATTTTATGCATTCTATGTAATATCTATATGTGATCTCTAAAAAAAAAACGTGCCTCATTTAGGAAAAACAAATATAATTATTAAGTGAAATATGTTTATAATACAAAGTATAATAAAATCGTAATTTTTTAAATATTTAATATTTTTTTTCTTTTTATATTTTCCCTATAATATGATAGTTAACAATAAATCAAATTGATTATCTTTATCAGTTACTTATGTGTGATATGAATTTTAAAATATTATTGTGTATATAATAAAATATAAAAATTTTATAACCTAAAACTTTGTATTTAAAAATTATATATAAAAATTTATGAATTCTACAAAGAGCAATAAATTTAAAAATATATAAATTCTTTTTATTTTTAAATTTATAAACTAATCATCGAAATATCTTATATTTTTTATTACGAAAGAAATACTATTTATTTCATTTTATTTTTATTTAAAAAAAAAATATAATTTTATTTATGTACAAGATATTAATATATGATTATTTTACAGTATTAATCATAAATGGCTCATTTATTACTTTGAAGTATATTATTACTTTTTTTATTTGAATTTATCACATATAGAACTTTGGTAAATGGAGTACGCTGACCCAAGAAACGAACAGAGCTGGTCACTGACCGTACCTAAACGCGAATCACTGTTTACATCCAGTTTTACATCTCAAACTGTCAAGGTGAAGCGCGGCGTCAACACTCCGTTATTGTCAAGCTTGAGTGCACAATAGAGTGTCGATCGTATGAGAATTAAAATACTTTCACAAAATAAAGTGCCTTGTGAAAATAAAACGTAGAGTTCTTACGAAAATATCTGTCAAAACCTATTCGCACAAAAATGTCAAGAACGAGCCATACCGGAGCAGGATCGAATAAAGTTGAGCTTGAATATTTGTTCTCAAACAAAGAAGCGTCTGCCAGTGAACATAGTATTTCGAGTATGGTATCTAATAGTTCTTCACAAGATGAAAATTTTCGCGTGTCGAAACACGCGGAAAATAGTCTTAGAGTTATGGAAAAATATTTACATGAACAACAATTGACAGATGTCATTTTAATTGCAGGTAAATAGAGAATTTCTTTGTTTTCAAATACTATTAGTTAATCAACTCTGAGTCATTTGATTCTAAATTAAAACAAAAGATTTATCATTATTTAAACTTACAATTATTTAATATACAAATTACATCAATAATTCAATTTTTATTTAGGAAAAAGACATATTCCTGCACATCGTTTAGTACTTAGTGCAAGTTCAGAATATTTTGCTGCCATGTTTACAAGTTCTTTAAGAGAATCTGCACAAAATGAAGTTGAATTAATGGGTGTAGATGGAGATGCATTATGGACTTTAGTCTGTTACTGTTACACAGGTATAATTTTATGAAAAAAAAAAAAAATGTAAGAAATTTTATAAATATATTTTATAAATTATGGAAATATTAAAAATTTTTTTTTTAAACAAAATAGGTTGCATAGAATTAAGAGAAGATAGTGTAGAAACTCTTTTAGCAACAGCACGTTTATTACAATTAAATCCAGTTGTTAAAGCATGTTGTCAATTTCTTAGAAAACAACTTCATCCGAGTAATTGCTTAGGAATAAGAATGTTTGCTGATACACAAGGTTGTTCAGATTTATTAGATCATGCTCATGCATACACAACTAAACATTTTATGGAAGTTACAAAGAATCAAGAATTTTTATTATTATCTGCAAATGAAGTTGCCAAACTTTTAGAATCAGAAGATCTCAATGTTCCTTCAGAAGAAATTATTTTTCATGTAAGACTTTATATTTATATAGAGAAAATTGTTAAAAAAAATTAATATAATTTCCATTGATATTATTAATATTGTTAATTTAGACGCTTATGACATGGTTGGAATATGATCCAGAAAATAGACAAAAAGATGCAAGCAAGTTATTAAGCCTTGTAAAATTACCTCTATTATCTCCTGCAGTAAGTATTAGTAAATATGTAATAAATAAATATTATTTTATATTAAGAAAATAATGTAATTATTTGCTATAAACTTTATTATATTCACACAGTTTATAGCAGACAATATTGAAAGTAATGAAATGTTCAAAGATCAAAGAGTGGCACAAGAATTAGTTATGGAAGCATTAAAATATCACCTTTTACCAGAGCGTAGACCATTACTTCAATCAGGACGTACAAAACCCAGAAAAGCTACTGTAGGTCATATGTTAGCTGTTGGAGGAATGGATGCTAATAAAGGTAAATGAATTGAATATGAATGAAATGATAAAATGGATATTTAATATATTTAATAATTTTTATTAGGTGCTACTTCAATAGATGCATTTTCTTTGCGTGATAATGCTTGGAAATCTATGGCTACAATGAGTGGTAGAAGACTTCAATTTGGTGCTGCTGTTGTTGATAAAAAATTGATAGTTGCTGGTGGAAGAGATGGATTAAAAACATTAAATACAGTAGAATGTTTTGACTTTTCAACTTTTACTTGGAGTACATTATCCCCTATGAATATTCATAGGCATGGATTAGGAGTAGCTGTATTAGGTGGACCTTTATATGCAGTTGGTGGTCATGATGGTTGGAGTTTTCTAGATACTGTTGAAAGATGGGATCCAGCCACACGTCAATGGAGTTCAGTTTCTGCTATGTCTATACAAAGATCCACAGTTGGTGTTGCTGTATTGAATGATAAGTAAGTTTTCAAATATTGTGATATGTATTCAATCGTTTTATTATTGTTATATATCCTATATGTGTCTGTTCAGATTATATGCTGTAGGTGGAAGAGATATAAGCTCATGTTTAAATACTGTGGAATGTTATGATCCCCATACAAATAAATGGACACCTTGTGCGCCAATGTCAAAACGACGAGGTGGTGTAGGTGTAGGTGTCGTGAATGGATGTCTTTATGCATTAGGTGGTCATGATGCACCTTCCAGTAATCCTAATGCCAGCAGATTTGATTGTGTCGAAAGGTATATATATGTTTAAAAAATATATAATAGTTTATATTTATTAATTTTAGATGTATATATGTAAACGTTAACGATTATTGTATAAATGTTACAATTGTATAGATATGATCCTAAGACAGATACATGGACTATGGTAGCACCAATGAGTGTACCAAGAGATGCAGTTGGTGTTTGTGTACTTGGTGATAGACTTATGGCTGTAGGAGGTTATGATGGCCAACAATATCTCACTCTTGTTGAAGCATATGATCCACATCTTAATGAATGGGAACCAGTAAGAATATTATTTACATATAAAATATTTTAAAAAAAGTTAAAATTTAAAATATTTATATCATAAAATTAATACATTTTAAGGTTGCTCCCTTAAATGCTGGTCGTGCGGGAGCTCCATGTGTTGTTATTAAAAACGTAACAGGTTTCGGATTTGATTAATAATAAAATTCTGCACAAAGTATGGAACTTTAAAAGCAAGTATGGAACTTCAAAGTATTTTAATTAAAAATCTTACATCGGAAGATAGATACAGAAGGAGATATTTGCAAATGTTACTATATCATAAAAGTAACATTATTTTTGTCTATAAATATATGTTTAAAACATAGTGTTTCAACACAGACAAAGCAATGTTTGTACTCCATTTGATACGTTGCATATACTATCGTGAATTTGTACATATTTATACCTATGTCTTTTGTATAAACATATTCAAATTTATTTTTAACAAATACATTTTTTACGTCGAACAAATTTATTTTTCTTGTCGACAAAATGTTTTTATTTACATATGTATTCATATATATTTTGTGAACATATTTTTAAATAAATAAAATGCTCATTTTAACTAATTTATCGAATTTTATAATCATGTTACTTGACAAATGTCCGTTATTTTTCATAAAATCCTAACAAGCAGGAAATGTTCTGAAAAATAAAGAAAAAATAAACTCATGTAAAAATTCGTATTGCGATCTATATTCCTTCTCATAATTTAGTAATTAAAATTAAATTTACCGTGGAAAATCAGATGCTGATTCTGCAAATTTATGTCTAACCATAAAAGTAGCAATTGCTTCTGCTACTTTATCTGGAACATCTTCATGTACTGCATGTCCACATGCTGGTAATACTTGCATTTGAAATTTACCTAATAAAAAAAGAAAAAATAAATTTTATAAATATTTAATATATTTAATATACAATTTAATATCGATAATATTGTACCTTGCATTTGTCCAACAGTGAGTTCTCGGTCTAATCTGTCGACACCAGCTAGTAATAGTACTTTTGGAACTGGTACATTTAAAAATGCTGTTGACAAACCCTTAAACCATCCAAGCCAATGTTGTTCAGTCTTTGATAGATCTATTCTCCAAACATATTTTCTAGTAGCAGTAGTGCCGGTTGGAGTAGATGGTGGTGGCATATTTACTGGTTCTTCTTCTTGAATAATATCTTCTCGTGGGATTGTAGTCTCAGAAATACACTGGCATGTTGATGATTGTGACAACAAATCAATATCATGAGTGGCTAATTTATTAGTTTCGATGCTACAGCAATACAAAATAATATATTAGAACAGTGAGCTGAGCAGTGATGATATATGAATATATCATACTAACTTTCTTATTTGTCCAGGAACTGACACCTTAGCTGATTGTATGTTACGGATTTGGCCACTTCGTACACTAAAATGTGGATAATTAGAGACATTCTTCTATAATCTCGTTTTTGATTATACAACACAAATATGTAATATATTAAAGAAGTAAATAACATTTTAGTTTGTACAGGATCAGCCAAAAATGTGCCTTCCTTCTGAAAAATGTACTTAGAATAGCAAGTTTTCTTGACTGATAAAAACTACATGAAAGACACAGAAAGATGTACTTAATTACTTTATATTTTTTTAAAATTTAAAAGTACTAACCACCATTCCACAGCTTGAGAAATAGAACTAAAACTAGATGGTCTTGATCTTAGAAAGCTTTGCATAGATGCTAATGCATCCATGGCTGTCCCTTCAACAACATCAATAACTCCTAATCCACATAAATTTGTGATTAATGATGCAGCTCTAACAGCTACTGCACCACCCATACTATGGCCCACTAGGATGACAGGATTATTTTTTGTTGTTGCATTTACAATTTCTGCAACATCTCTAAAAGTTAAAAAAACATCAATAATATGATATTTGATTTTATATTTATAATTATAAAAAAATTATATTTACTTTGCTAAAGTATCAGCAGATAAATCTTCTTCATTTGAAGTTTGAGTATCTCCATGTCCTCTAAGATCAATTGCCATAACTTTACATATTATCATAGTCATAATTGATTTCTGAAACATACATGATATGAGAATTATAAATTTATATTTCAAACATTTAATAATTAATACCTACAGTGAATTCTGCCCATGTTAATGCACTGTAACCACCCCCATGTAACAATACTAATGTCGGGCCATCTGTACCCTTAGTATAAATATGAAATATGTCATCTCCTATTTTCACATCTTGAGAATGATCAAAATATGGAGTCCATTGAACTGGATCATAATCTCTCTTACGTTGAAATCCCTTTGATTTATTAATCCTATTCATTACAAAAAAAAAAAAAAAAATATTTAACAATAAACTTAGAAATTTTCTATTAAAAATCCACGTTAAAAAATTCGTATTATTAAATTATTTTTATGAAAAAATTTTACTTTAATAGGATTTCATTTAATAACTTAAATTTATATAAGTCATAATAAACTAACCTAGAGCTAATTCCAAAATTGACACCCGATGGTGGTAGTTTTGATTTCAAAATCGATTTTTGGAGGGAAGACATGTTAGTATGTATTCAACAAATTCTTCTGTTTTTCTAATAATACTATTTGCAATTATAATTATGTTCACTGTTTTTATAGATACATCACAAATTATAGTATCGTTGTTTTATTCACAATTAACGGAATACCAAAACTTCTCTGACAGCTTTAGCTTGTTACTACCTGAATTCAGTATTTCTATATTCGATATAAAGCGCTCCGATGAAAATTTATTACTGATGCAGCGTCTCCCTCTTTTTTATCGATACTCTTGAGCAATGTTATCTTACGTCGATACAACGGACTCAAATGATTAAAGCATCACGAGTTAGAGCTTCGATTAAACTTAACAGCATGGCGCTACTGTACTACAACAAATTATGGCGCGTTAAAAGAAAAAAATATTCAATTTTATATTATTGAGGTATACATGCATATTTGCCAAATAAGATATTAAAATAATTTTTAATCGTATATCAAATGAATAACCTTATATATATTTTACATGATTTTCATATTTCCCTTTTTTAATCCTTTCTTTTATCATTACTCAAAAAATTTAATCAATTCGATAAATTTAATTGTCAAAAATATCTTGAGAGATCAAAAATAAAAATAATTCATTTAGTTTCATATATTCTTAGAAGAATATATAAAAACGACGAAAAAAAAATTTAGAGAATATTCGTTTGAACTATCGACGTTCATTTACTCACCTGACCTGACGCAATATTTCCATTTTTCTTAAATCTTACCCAACCTCGTGTCCATGAAACGAAGAAGCCGAGGTCGAAACTGGAAATCGTCAATGCCATCGAGAATTCAACGATGACAGACGCGCAAATAGTCGTAAGCGGAGGGGCCATCCGCTGTCGACGAAGCCTTACCTGGTGACTCAACTTGCGTACGTCGGTTTCAAAGCGCCGAAAGAAAGGGAAAGTACCCGGGACATCGAAGCATGGGAGCCTAGCATGCTCTCAGTCCGCGGAAAGCGACTGAACGCATACGAGAAACGATCCTTCGCAACGATCTG